TTTAAAGCAGAGTGGATCAAAGAATAATGCTTAATGATTAAAAAAAACTCTTAAGAAGAAAAACAAAAAAAAAACGAATGTTTTTTGGTTTTTCTTCTTAAGAGTGAAAAGATCTTAAATGTGAAAGATCTCGCCAAAGAGAATACTTAGAATTAGTTTTATACAAGACAAAAAGTTAGGATGCTCTAGAGAATACTTTAAGAATATAAGCACAGTACTAGACTGTCAACGAGGTATAATCGATATAAACTTGAGCTGGCTAAATGTAACCGTAAGTTCTATGCTGAGAGTTTCTTTATTTGCATTTATTACTTGTGGAAATCTCTTCCGACTTTAAGCTTTAATCTTCAAATATGTAAATACAATATCAATCGCTAGCTACTGCCCTCCCGATGGCTCTTCTTCTGTTTTCTAAATCTTCTACACACCTTGTGTCTCCGTGGTTATAATGGCTTGCTTGGGGTGAATTTGCTTACAAAACATTATAATGAAGAAGTACCTAAAACCTGTACTATCGTCCTGACATCTTATTATTCCTGAAGTCCTCAAATTATAATGCCTTCCCAATACTTAGAATTGAAAGCAGCAGAAAGAATTGAAAGTAAGGCAGATGAAATTTAGCAGATCACAACCCATTATATTTGTAGGCGGTGAATCCGTAATAGGTTTGCTAATCATAATGTATAGCAAGTTTTAGTAATCAGGTGAGTAGGAAACAAAATAGAAGCAGTCATTGATTATCTCCCTTTACTCCACAAAATCTTCAAGAATGTCATAAATACAGGGTTATCTGTCTGCTTAGTTACGCAAGGAAAGTGTAATCATCCTAAAGAGGAATAATGTCCCAAGCAGGAGAAATCATCACTAAAGAACAGTCTGCATTTCGACCTGGAAGAAATAGTCCAAAACATATATTCAGTCTCTTCGCGAAAACACTATCAAAACTTCTACCATGTTTTCATAGATTTTAAAAAGGTCATTGTAAATAGTTGATCCAGCACACGGTGTAGCACTTCTCCAGACCCCCATAGGAAAGTGGTTACACCCGTCATTCGGACTACGCTAAGGATGTCTTCTTTCCCTATGCCTTTTAGCCATCATGAGTCATTAGTGACATTAGGATCATCAGAGAACCGTCAGCATCGGAGGTCGTAACATCACAAACCTTCGCTTCGAAAACGACTTAAATGCTCTAGCTGCCAAAGAAGAGGAACTTGTCCGTGTGCTGAAGAAGCTGAAGGAAAAACCATCCATATGGACATGGAAATTAACTCCGAAAACAAGATCATGACGAAAAATGGCAATATAAGAGGCAATGGGGGGGGTCTTAACGTAGTGAGACAATTCTTGGTTCGATTATCAGTGAAGAAGGATACAGAATAGAAATACTTTTAAAAAGCAGCATAAAAAATAACGACGTTGCAATTGGAAGAACCATCCAGAAAGATAAGAATATCATCCTGAAATCAAAGATCTGATTCTTGCGTCCATTGGTTTAACCAGTCTTTCTGTACATCTGCGAATCTTGGACATTAACAGCAAAATCTACAACGAAGAATCCAAGCATTAGAAAAGAAATGCTACAGGACCATCCTACGCATCTCCTACGTAGAGTGTAATACAAGACACTTTCAAACAAGGAACAGGTCCTTTGGAAGACCTTATATCCACCGTCAAGGAGAGACAATTGAAATGGTATGGACACGTAATAAGGTCAAATAGTCTTTCCGATGCTATACTACAAGGTATCAGCCTTAGCCAAAAGAAGAAGAAAGAGAAAAAACGATTTTCAGAGAGGCTCGGATATTTGCAAGATACAGAGATATTTATAGGTAGCTGGTTACGTTCTCAGTTTGCGCAGCTACCCTACGACGGCATCTGGTCATAGTTTTGTATAGCCCCTTGGTGGGGTGTGGTCTTGGGGCGACGGTGATTACCTAATAATAAATTTGCATTCTCTTCCCACGACCGGTGATCGCTAGTTGGTTTGGTTCGGAGATGAAAAGACATTAACAAAGGGAATTTTATTTATATCGGCTTATACATCTCAACATAGCAAGTAGGGTCGCTCTATCACCACCTCTGAAGAGCAGATCCAGACACGACAGAGAACACATCTACACAGTTCAACGATTAAATTCAACTCTCGAAAAATATTTTTCTATCATTCTCATTTGTAGAAGACAGAATAGAAAGGGTTTCAAGAGTAGCACAGTAGCAATTGTGGGAAAACTAAAAATCACCCGGAAAGAACAGCTGCCTGAAATCAATGATCAGACTGTTGCGTGCATTGGTCTTCCTTTTATATCTAAGAATCTTGGACATTAACATCAAGATTACAGCGAATTATCCAAGTATTAGAAATAAGATGCTATAGAACCATCCTAACCATCTCCTGCGTAGACTGCATCACAAATGACGAAGTGAAAGACACCATCAGACAATAAACATGTCCATTAGAAGACTTTATATACACCGCCAAAGAGAGCGTTGAAATGCTATTTTACGTTATTACCACTGCCAGCCTTCAAGGTAGTAGTTAAAGGAAAAGAAGAAGCAGAGGTAGACAGAGGAAAGATGGGCTGATAACGTCATTAAGTGAACTGGAAGATCATTCAGGCACGCAACCGAGACATATGGAGGAAGCTAGCAAGGTGCTCAGCTGCGCAGTGAGCATAAGACGACGCGCAACTGATGATGATGATGATGATGATGTATCTCGGGAGCGCCCAAAATAAACAAATGCCCATTTTCAAAATGTTGCTATGCGTAAAACAGACTCTAAATGGTATTAAAATGCCATATACCTGAATTGTCCAAATCGTGTAACAGCAAAATTATCCATTCGTTAGATTAAGATTTGAACCGTTGTATCTTAGAAATGATTAAAGATATTTTACTTGAATTCTCCGAGGTTTTTTATAACACTAGGGGATTCTACTTTGAACAATAAGAGTGTATTTAGCTCTAAGTTGAAATGATAATCTCTCTTGCTGCTGTGACCTCCTGATCCAGTTTTCCTTTCTACTATTTCCTCTTTTTTAAACTTATTCACCATTCTCTTGATGGTTCTTGAATAGACTTTGAAAATGGAAGCCAGATTATGAATATTGGTACCATTAGTGAGGTTTGAATGATCTTTGTCCTTTCGCCATTACTCAGTTGGAAAGTCATGGTGGGCTTACACAAAATGATTTTAACCTGTTCGTTTTCTTGCTGAATAAGGTGTTTTTCATTGATTTTTACGACAAATGGTGTCAAAAGGGCTAAACGTCTTAACTGAAAACCTTGAAGAGAGAAACTTAGTTTAGTAATTTTTTTAAATATTAAACATTTTGTGGGATATTCCAGTTTTGCCATCACACCCAGCATATATATATATATATATATATATATATATATATATATATATATATATGTGTGTGTGTGTGTGTGTGTGTGTGTGTTAAATATCAAATGGAGATTAAATGTTAATCGGAATTTGGACAGGATGATATGATGATTTATCAATCTGACATGTCTCACTTTCATTAAACCTTCATCAGAGATTTCGAGAAAACGGACAAAAGGTGAGAATTTTTGGTATTCTCCGTTTTGATTGGTTCGATTCTCATTGGTTAGCACGTGACACATGACTGACCAATTAGAATCGAACCACACCAAATTGAAAATACCCAAACTTCTGCGTTTTTGAGTTGTTTCATCTCAGTCTCTGACAAAGTTTTAATAAAATTGAAACACATTAGATTGCTAAAAGTTTCTTATTTGCCCTTTATTTTATATACACAAGTATATCATTAGGAAACTGCGTATTATAAAAAGGATAAAATAACTTATGCCGGTGTGAAATGGATTCGTAATGACAATCTAAGAAAATAGAGAAATGCCAGATTTGGGAATAGGCCATTGCAATCACTGAAAAGAAGGTAAATCCTTTTCTGTTATTTGTGGCTAATTTTATTTATTAATGCTAATCTTTATATGAAACATTTTTTCATATTTTGTAAGGGCCTATTGGTTGAAAGATTTATTTTTGGAACATTGGGGTTACCAATTGTAAAGATGTCCGTTTGTAGATAGACCAATACTATTTACACTTTCAACGTACGGGATTCAAGTAAACAACAGAAACTCCAAAATTGTATTCAGTGTATAGCTTAAGGGAAAGAAGGTTTTCCCCTTTAATTGTATTTTGATTTGTAATTGATTGTTCGAAGAAAGTTCTTTTTGAGATAAAAATGTTCAGGAATCAATATTAGAACATGGTCTGTTTGTTAGAATAGATAACACAAGAATACAGTTGACCAAAAATGTGTTGTGTTATAGAACGGTTCGAAATCAATAGACTCCTGGTTGATTGAGCTTGGCTAAGTCACAGAGAAATGTAAGTTTATATTACGAAATTCTGTGTCTGTGTGTGCGTTTGAAAGATTGTGGACTTGTATGGACAGGTGAATTTTACTGGATCTAACTGACGACTTGTGAAAAAGTCGCCTCTTTTATGGATAAAGGGTAGGCTCCCACGGCAACGCGGGAAAACTTAATCTTGCACTAAAATATGTGATTGGTTAAAAAATTAAACCAATCACAAAATTCGTACTAGCAGAACAAGCAAGCAAGCTCAAAACCGAAGGATTCAAAGAAACGACTGCGATGGATAAATTGTCCTATATAAAGGTACTAGTGATTTATTAGCCAATCGTAGGCGAATAAAATGTGGGTATGGAAAAACATAACAATAGCTACAATTTTATTTTAATTTTGTTTTCAGCTGATTTAAAATTTATTATTTCTGTTACAAGTTTGACCGCAATTTATTATTATTTTTTTTTATCATAACACTCTGGATTCTTGTACAGCTTGAACTAAATCGTAAAAGAAAAATTGCTTTTACAAGAAATATGTTTTAATTAGAACCCCCCCACACACACACACCATGCAGACGATCTATTTATGGACATCGCATCAACCACTTTAATCATGGAAATCTTAACGCGTAAATGGAGGAGCAGTCTGTTGTTATTCTGTCATTCGTCATCTCTACTTCGCGAAGTGGTGTTTGTTTTACTAATCACAGTATTTTTCTGAAATGTTTATATGGAGCCTTTTATCTATTATTCTGTTTCTATTTCTTATTCCACTTCATAATCTTCAGATTTCGTGCTCTGACACTTGACATATGTATCGACCAGAGCGCGCCCTGATAAAAAAAAACACAAAAAAAAAAAAAAACACAAAAAAAAAATGACGACAATAAGGAGGAATAAAAAGTTGTTATGAAATAACGTTCGGGAAATTGCTTCACGTAAATAAAAAATAATTCAAAACTTACGAACACCTCGCCTTTCAAAAATAAACATTGTGAATATAAAGTAATATGACAAAGAATATTCGACGCCTAACAATAATAAATAATAGAAAATATGGGATGAAAAATAGTAGAGTCAAAAGAATTGCGTGCTTTCATTCAATAATGGCAATGCAGTTGGTACAGTTTAAGAGTTAACGTTTGTCAAAAACAAAGAGTTTTTGATTTATTCTTTCGCTAAAAGAATTTAAACATCTAAGTCAACGCTATTGGAAAAAGAGACCGATTCTTTCAGGAAGTGGCAGGTTTCAGCGAACATTAAATAATAAATTATTTTCTTTAATGGAAAAGTCATAAATTATGCAAGAGTCTCTTCTTGATGTGGACACAATGTTAAGGCTTACATGATAGTTATATAATCGCATTACAAGCAAGGTGAAAGCGTAGCTAATCCTCACAAAGGTGCCTATTTTAGTTTCGTGCCATAATGACTACAGCCTCGTCTTCGACTATAAAAATTACAAGATATTTTAAGACTTAGTTGTACTTTAGGCGAATATAGCTCTTTAAACAGGACAAAATGTTAAGATTTTTGTCATAAAGGTGAAAGACACATGTCACTAGGTATATTTTTGTAGACGTCTGCGTACCTTTGAATGTTTACATTGGTGCCGTGTACCATACTCAGCCAATATCCTGTAACATGCAAACAAGTAAGGCCGGCACGTACTACCCACGAGCCCCACCCCGATTTGTGAACCTCGTTATCTTATAAACGTTTGCCTTTTTTCCTTTCTACGGTTATATTCAACAAAATTAAACCAACCACAACTGACTGTTAAAAGATGATAAATTTTCGCGAATGTTAACACCATTCTGAGTTTTTTTTTTCATCGAAATCCGTGAATTTGTTTTGCTCATATTAAATCTAAAAAAAAGAACACCATATAAAATTCACTATTTTTTTTGTCCATAATCTTGAATGTATTAAATTAAAACAAAAAAAAATCTGAAATTGATGTTAAAAATTGCCGCAAAACATTCTTGATTTATTTAAAATGAAATGATCTATTACGACATATTTGAAATTCGTATTTAAAAACATTGTATTTATTTTCAATATTTCTAGTTGAAGTGTTCACCTATATTGCACACACACACACACACACACACACATATACATATATATATATATATTAATGCATGTTTCATTAAATAATATAGACAGGGTTTGTCTATTTATTTTAAGTAAGTTCCTTTCATATTGTCTGATAAGATTAATAACATTATCATTGAAAGACGAAAGGAAATCACCATATTGATACATGTTTAAATCCAATCTAAGCTTTCGGCTTACATAAGCCATTATCAAAAATGACAATTACTTTTCAATATATCAAACAATACACGGACGAAACAGTAACGATATTCTGTTTTTTTGTTGCATGTTCTGTTCATATCTATCTATTTATCTCTCTCTCTCTCTTTATATATATATATATATATATATATATATATATATATATATATATATATATATCAATCTGTTCGCACATATCTATCTATCTCAGTCTGTTCGTATCTATCTATCTGTCTATCTCAGTCTAGTCATATCTATCTGTCTATCTATATATCTATTTCTCTATATATCTATCTCAATCTGTTCATATCTATCTATCTATCTATCTATCTCTATATATATCTATCTATCTCAGTCTGTTAATATCTATCTATCTATCTATCTATCTATCTATCTTTCTTTCTTTCTTTCTATCTATCTTCGTATCTAATGAAGGTTAATTAGTTATATCAGCTGTTGATGGTATGTTCTGTAACTATAGATACGTTCTTCTCATTTTCTGTCAATCAATGAAAATCGGAGGCTAAAAAATTTAGAAGCAATGAACATAAAAGAAGTAAATGAAATAGAATGAGGATAAATAACGGAGTTTTTAAGGTAATAAATATCCATAATTTTAATTTTCACAATTCTGGCAAGTAATTTCCTTGCTCTGGCATCCGTGCCGGTACGGTGGAATAATGGATTTCGGTTCGAATTAAGGAATCGGAGAGCCGAGTTCGAATTCCAGTCAAGTTCATTACAACCACTTACTTTTTAAAACTCTAGAAAAAGATAAAAGAAAAGAGAAAGGTATGAATCTAACTCTTGGTTAAATAGTACGATGGACTGAATTTTATAGCCTTGGATGGAAACCGGTGTAGGAGAAGAAAATATTGGTATTCATAAGTGTGTGTAGCCCTGGCGAAGCACATACTATTCAGTTAAGGAGAGGATCGTTCGTACTGACTCGATGATCCCTGCTACTGTCGAGTCCTTTAACAAACCCACAGATTGAGAAGAAAGACAAGATTTAATAAACTCTATACCGAGTGCCTTCAAAATATATGGATCATTTTACAGCTCGTATCTAAATAGTTGTTATTTAAAATAACGTCTGGAACGGAATTAAGCTTTTGAAAATCCATTTTCAAAATGTCAGCAAGTGCATCGCGGCAATGTGACTAAAATGTGCTGAAGCCCCATCATGCATGGAGTGCACGCGACTACGTATTAGAAGGGATACATCCTCTAGCAGGTCTGGAAGTGTTTTCGAAATAAAGTCCCTGTAGACTCCTCCTGTAAGATGTGCTGGGAGAACATATGGACCTACCAGACAGTCACCTACAATTCCAGTCCACACATTAATCATAAACTGATGCTGGTGTCTAGCCTGCATTGTTCCATGAGAATTCCGATCCGATCATAAAGGTTGGTTGTGTAAATTTGTTATTCCATATCCTCCAAATGTTATCTCATCCATAAATAAGACTGAAGAGACAAACAAGGAATCAACAGTTTGTGCAATAAATCATCGGTAAAAGTTCTTCCGTGGTGAGTGATCAGAGGGCGAAAGATCCTGGACACGTTGCAAATGATATGGATAAGAGGAGCTGCTTTTGAAGTACCTCAAAGCTGTACTATAAGATGTATGACATGCTAGGGCCACTCGACGTGTGCTGATAGCTGGATCATCTCCGATAGCCTGTGGAATGTGTTCTTCGGGATCAGGCGTACGAACGTACCTCGGTTTTTCGAGATCTTGTATTAGCAACGCACCGATAAACAGAAAGGTTGGATGACTCGGCTGCCTTCGGTCGGGAAACGCAATCTGCCACTACCATACGCATGTAAATCATATCTGCCTGCTCGCGATAGAAATATTCTGCCGTTGTTAAACGGAATACTTCTTAGTTAACTCAAAACTACACAATGTTAAACGCTGAAGACAGACTAGCCTGAAATTTACACGAATAACAAATATACCCTAGTCTACATGACAACACATCGCTATCAGCAGTAAACTTTCGTTAAACTTAATAAGCCAAAAACGAAAGTTTTGCGGACATTTGTTTATGTGGATTTTTGTTCTTGTTTTGGTGTGATGAATTTATCGAGTCTGAAACCTCAACAAAATGCAGAAAGCACTGGACGGCCGTTGGCAAGTTAGGTCAAGCAAACATCATACCAACTGTTCCAACGGACCTCGGTGAGGAAGAGATTGCAAATCAGGCTCAATATAGCGCCAGTCGCTCACATATTCCGTGGTGGAACTCTGCTGAGTTTCTTTCTAACCATAGGACTGTGGCCCTTGGAGCCATGACTGCTATATATAATATATATATATATATATATATATATATATATATATATATATATATATATATATATATATATGAAGAAATACACTCATATGGTGTGCTATATTTACGGGATAAAGTGCTCAATATCAGAGATAGAGCGTGTGTAAATATAAAAGTGAACATTGACGTCAACACTGAGAGGCGACAGGCTGTTTCATGCTGGACTGAATCGTCAGGCCTGACGATTGCTTCTAGCATGAAACAGTTGCCTGTTGCCTTGACTTAAGTGTTGACTTATATATGTTCATATATATATATATATATATATATATATATATATATATATTTCTTCACATATATATATATATATATATGTATATGAAGAAATATAGTTTTAAAGTGGGATAAAGTGCTCAATATCAGAGATAGAGCGTGTGTAAATATAAAAGTGAACATTGAATTCAACACTCAGAGGCTGTTCAATGTTCACTTTTATATATATATATATATATATATATATATATATACACAAGTATATGATTGGTGTATACGGAATAATTTCCAATAACCAACAATTACTATTCTTAAAAGAGTGCTCAATACAGTGTAATTTTTTTTTACATTCAGCATCATCACTTGATAAGACACCAGAGGTGTTGAAACAAAATGGCTATTTTTGTAGTGATTTTATAACATATTTATGTTATAATTTTTAAATCAATAATTATATATATATATATATATATATATATATATATATATCGTTTAAGTATTTTTTATGATTCTTTTTTCATTCTTTTTTCAGCTTTTTATTTGAATATTTTTCCTATTTTTATTGAAATTTCAAGTTTTAATATTCCTCAAAATTGGTCCAAATTACCGGTCAATTATCATGTCACAAATCTACACGCAGCAGAGTATTATTGACCACAAGATGACAATATCACATCTTCACAGAAAATAATTATGATTCCATCGGAAAAAAAAAATCTGACGAATTTATTATTGTCTGAAGAAATTTCTATCTTATTCTCTTGTCCTCATTCCAAATGGTAATAGTCATGGGCCTGGAGTAAAGGAATCATTCACAGACCAATCTGCCTAAGTGTCAATCCTTCATGTCTTGGTTATGATTAGTAAAGACAGCGAAAATCTGCCGTTAAAGTAATGCCTCACCCTCGCATCCATATTGGGCGTGGTTACTTATCGTAGCCGTGGAGTAGACTAAATTTAACCTTGGCAAATTGTAGTCGAAGTTAAATACGAGTGATAAGAAATCTTTGTTAAATTGTTTATAAAACTGATGGTGATGGAAGAGGCGATAGTCATATTAAAGAAAGACTCAGAAAATGGTAGCAGATCGTGGGATGAAGAAAGGCCTCAGCCTAAAAGGAGAAAAAGAAAGAGAGGAAAAGAAGCAAGAAAGTAAATAGATAAATAAAGAATATTCTCCTTAAAGAAAAAAAAAGAAACAAAAATTTTTCACTAAGCCGTATCTATAAAATAGGAAAAACAAAAACGTTTACTATACTGGACAGAATTCTCAATAGTGGCGTCTCATTGCGTAGACTGTCTAAAAGCTATCATTTCAGTTTAACATATGCCTGACAGGTGGAGCCACTTGTCTGTCATTACTTTCCTGTACATTTTTGATATACAAATCATTTTACAGTCTTACATTTGAAAAATATATGTATATGTTTATATGAGAGCGTTTTAGCTTCTTACTTATGTATAGAAAAAAGTGTGTCAATTCACTCCTGTATGAATTTGTAAGTCCATGTGATGTTTCCTTAAAGTAGGCGGCATTGCATGATAGTTTTTTTTTATATTTTGCAACAACTTAAGTTATATTGAAAGATTTTTATCTGTTGCAAAGAAAGGATAGTGTAATTTGTTTCTTAAAAAACGGCATCCTTTGATAATTTCAAACCAGAAACAGGCTGATTACAAAGCCAATGTTTACAATTTTATCGCTAATTTCGTGAATCACCCCAAAATATTTCTTATCGAAATTAAAAACAGAAAACTTTTACAGCTCTGTAATTATAAAAATAGAGAAGATATTCCGGTAGAAGAGTAATCTATCAGCCTAATCAGTTTCGTTCTCTTTGCATTCAACTCTTGGAAAAGACATAAACCAATATCGTATCTTAGCCAGCTATAGATATATATCATGGTAGGTCTCTAGTCTTGCTTGGCAGCCAGTCTAGTAGAAGGACAACTTTGAATTTAAAACCCTTAAAAAAGAATCGGGAAAACATTTTCACTTTCATTCACAGATAATTAAAAAAAAAAAAAAGGTATCTATGAGGAGCCATGATATCGTATTTCCTGAAGATTCTTAGCATTTAAAAAAAATTCAAAAATAAAATAAATCTCTGAAAGTAGATATTTTCGGATACACTACCCCCGAATCCTTTCGAGACGCTCGTTAATTCGTTTGTCGTCTTGTTACTCAAGGACCAAAAATATTGACACGATTTTAAAAGAGCATCACCTTCACAGCATAGTTGAACCTTCTAGAAATTTTAAAATTTTAGATATAGATTATCAATGCACGAACAATGATTTGATGAGATCGAACTTTAAAAAAATAAATAAGAAATATTAATAATCAATAGATAATGATGATAACTAAAGAAACTGTATATTTAGAGATTGGTGTTTCCATTACACTGGTCGAAAAAAAAATTGAAATGGTGTCGAAACATCAAACATATTTTTTTAGCCAATTTGAGGACGCTGAATCTGAAAATGATCTTGCTTTTTCTTGGTTAGGTACCGTTTTGTTGTACAGAAAAGCCTCGTTTTTTGAAGAAAAAAATTGTTTTCTGTGTATATGATATTTCTAAATTTTGCTCTATCAAAATTGTCATTTTTCGCCGCCATTTAAACGCAATTTACGCCAAACTAAAAGACATTATTTTACTATCATTTAAATTCCTGTAATGACTGTTACGCTGATCGAATCATATATAAAGCCAGGATGAGAGAAATAAACACCTCTATCTCTCTTTGTTCTCTCTCTCTCTCTCTATATATATATATATATTAAAGACATTTTTATGTTTAACGTTCTTTTTTATAGATAGAAGTATTTAAGTATAATAAACAGTATTAAATAACATTTACCGGCC